CCAACATCAGTACCTGACCTCACAAATGGTCCAACATTCCCATAGACACACTCCTAAACCTTGTGGACGCCTTCCCAGAAGAGGCGGAGCTGTTATAGCGGTAAAGGGCGGAGCCAACCCAATACTGAACCCTACGGACTAAGACTGGGATGCCATTAGAGTTCATGTGCGTGTAAAGGCGTCCCAATACTTGTGCCAATATAGTGTATGTTGCGCTCTGCAAGGCAGCGGCATGAACTGGTCCCAGTCATGTCACCTTCCATTGGACATCCGAATCGGTTTTCTTCCGGATCGGTTTAATCGCCGCACCACACCAGAAATATGAAATGTCGCCGCCGTGGGACAACCATGAAAGTTTGTACTCACAAGATTGGATCTAGATTTCACGGGCTTCACATGAGGTGACGAGGGAGCATGGAGCCGGCCAATCAGGAAGCCGGGCAGCGTGTAATGACACGGCTTCCTGATACAGGAAGTATCGGGCTAGGCATCGGAGCATTTACGGTAACCCGCATCTCTACACGAGGGAGGCGATAACGTCATTGTTTGTCTGTGTGGGTTTAATGTGCTGAGAGCACAATGCCCTGTGATTTCCACCGGAAATCTCCGAGCTCTACCCTGACCACACGCGGCTGCGGCGCTGATTAGCAGAGTGCCCCGCACCAGCAGCAGGTTACAATAAGCATGGCTAACCCTAAACATCGGCACACATGCCGGCAGGATATGGTTTCATGCCCCCCGCTTGATTGGAGCGGTTTCATTTCCACGGCTAACAAAAGCATTTGTGTGCCGAGCGGCTCATCACCGACATCTGGGAACGCGGCCTGATTTCAGAGAGAAATTCCTTTATTTTCGGCGACGTCAATGGCTTCAATATGCTGCACTTTTCCTTTGCGTTGGGCAGATCATTATTGATGCTGATTTATGCTTGCCTTCAATCATAAACATGTTTGCGGTTCATTATTCGGCACGCATGGTGGCCTTTTGGGTAGGAAGTAGACATGTAGCACCTATAAGAA